TGTGACCAATGAAGTTTTTTTGATGCATTTGAAGCCATACAAAGAATTTTTACGAAGTTGAAACCGTTTTTTTGTTGTTTTTAAATCCAACTGGTTCCTGCTTTATGCTAACTTGTTTTCCCCATGAACTGGATCTCAATAACAATATTTTTATTGTTCGATAATGTTCAAAAGTTTCTCCCGACTCATTGCGTATCCGTACGCTTGTTTGGGTGTTCGGGCTTTGGCTAATGATTCCTCCGAAATTTTCTTGATCAACATGTGTGTACACACACTTGTCTTTTTGGATCCGCAATCGGCTTGGATGCTGGTTCTATCATTTCAGCATGAAATGATTCAAAAAATCATTTTTTTTTGGTTTTTGCAAGGAAAAATGTATTGTTCGAATACAATTATTGTTTTGTGATAAAAACATTATCGAGGTCGGTCCACAATTCCTTTGTGAATACTGATTAAACATCAATATTCGGTTTTCTTTGTCGGAATTGTCTCTTGGCTATTTTTCCAGGCATATACAAGTACGGCTATTAGTTTTTGTGTCCGCGTCAACTCATGGTACTGCTCCACATAGCACTCGCTTTTTATCTGGCTGTTGTCTAATACATTTATCTTGGCTTCTGTTTTCTAGGTCTTGATTTTGTGATTTCGTTTCCTCTTCTATCGGTTCTGCGCGCATTGGCTCTGGCGGTCTGGTTGGCGCTGCAGGCCGATGTCGCAATAGTAGTTGTACGTCAATGTTCTCCTCCATGAAAATCGCCGTTTGTAATCCCACTACCCATTTTGTCCACTCTACTGGCGGTTCGATTGTATGACGATGCCAGGGGGGCGTTCAACAGTGCCGAAGTACAACAGTGCCGAAAAAGGCGGGAAAATTTTGGAATAATTTACACGCATTTTCCAAAGAGCGGTAAATTACTGACGCTAATTATCAAAGAAAATCACTCCAATTTTGGCGCCAATATGTCTACAACTGCAAATTAAACAATTATTTTGGCGCCAAAACGTCTAAATTGCAAATTTTCTCGCTCAAAATCTTAATGTTTTACTTAAGATTGTAAGCGATCGCTGTTTAATTTTTGATTGCCGCACTTAATATGTTGAAATTTATTCAAATTTTCGGTCGAAAATTTTCACGCGGGTGCAGCGAAGGTCACTTAATATACTTGGCCTTACAGACCCAAGATAATTTTTTAGTAAATCAAATATCTTAGGATGACTGTTTACACATATGATTTAGAAAAAATGTGCACATAATTAAGTCCGGTTGGATGACAGCTTTGTCGAAACCTCATCAAAATCTCTTACCTTGCAAAATTTTCTCTAATGCCTTTTAAAAAATATCAACGATTTTTGTGGAGCTTTGCCAAAAAAAATTTTGAGCGAAACAAGATTAATTACAATCGAATTATTTCTCCAACTCGTCGTGTTTTTTTATTAAACTATTTTCTTAAATTGTGACAGATCATTTTGATCTGTAAGCTGCTGCTTCTGGCAATCATCTTTTTAGGTAGCTGTGTATTTTGTTATCCACAAAAATCATAATTCCGCATTTATTCACAAAAAGTCAATTCGATCTTATTCAAGTTGTGGCTTTTATCTGCACGCTATGATATAAAAAAACTCGTATCACTTTCATAGTTTAAGAAATATTAGTTTGAAGACTTCGTCGCCTGTTTTACGATGAGCTTGCAAGCGTTTCCTCTCAAGCCCCTTCATTTTGTAGACATCAAGCCATTGAGAGCAGCTCATTTATTGTAATTACTTTAAGCAAATGGTATACCTCAACCTTTCAGGCCATTTTGCGTAATGCGGTAATGTTTACTCATATCGAGTCAACTGTTGATTTAGAAAATCTATAAATAATAGAAAATTAAACTAACAACTTCAAAAACTACATTTAGGCTGAGCCACAAGGCAAGTCGGTCTTACTCCATTCGTAATGTTAATCTTCAGACATTGATTTTTACTTAATTTTTGGTGGAAACAGCAAAAACTCAGAAACTTCGCGATTTAATTAGGTTAGTTTGACTTGCAAGAGAAGCCAGTTCAAATTGATTAAAAGCAGTATCGTGACTTACAGACACCAGGTTTTGCACTCAGAGTAGTTAAGAAAGCAAGAGAAAATGCAACTTAACCAAAACTCGGAGGTAGCGAAAAAATATTGTTTGAAATGTCAAATAGAAACGTTTTTGCACATATTTGTGCATTGAGGGCTATTAAAATGTGAAACAAAAAGTTGATCAAGAGTAACTTCATAAACAAGCAAACTAAAACATCAAGTAACCTCAAACTACTTTTCAAATTTAATTTCTTGGTATCATCAATTTCGTTTCAACTTGTTTTTGAACGTTATCAGTTTTTCTGAATTGTAGAGTTTTACAGCGTTTTCCTTCTGAAGTTTTTGATTTGATTTCCACCGAACAGACTAGCGGATTTTGCTAATTGGAAGGTTCGTTGGTAATGCTTGTATATTAAATACAGTGTCAAATTCAGTTCCAACGTTCCCCTCAATTTTTCGCAAGCCTTTTTTTTCTGGTTCATTACTTCCACAAACACGATGCTTCTAATAAGAGTAGCATATAGACATTTAGACGTTGCTCGAATATTTTTAAAACTGAGAGTTTTTCTTGGCATTACCATCATTGCTACTGCACTATCATTACTTGAGTTCTACAGGGGCGTCCTGTCCTCGGTGATCCTCAGCCCTCTTGGTAACAGGTTGAGAAGCCTTATAAAAAAGCAAACAAAACCTTTCAGTTAAATTTTCAATGAAAATAACTTCAAAATATGTGAATTGGCACTATTTTTCAGCCATTATCTGCCATGAATTACCTCGATTTTAAGTCAGAAAGGGGGGTTTTCTCGCACTTTTAACTTTATCTTGTTTGGCAGTGCAGTGCTTCGGATTTTTTACAGTCAAAAATTGTAATTACTGATAGTTTTGTCCTTAGTTATGATTGAGCATGCTCTATTTGACTCTGACTTTTATATAATGTACTTATTTTTTCACCGATTTATATTTTCATTTTCCGGCGTCGATGTTATAGGAGATATTATGTGTCTGAATTATGCTTAGACTTGATTTTCAAAATAATGTTTTTAAAAATAACATTTAAGTCCTGAATTTAGAACTGAGAATCTGAGCCACTGTGCCAGTCAATTTTAACTCCTCTCTGAATTTTAATTTTTAGGTTAAACGTTTTCACACAAAATTTGGTGGAAAATAGCAAAAAGTTGAAAACTGCGCTGTAGCTGACAGTCCATAATAATCCTAACCAGTGTCGAGAATTAAAAGGCCCGCTTTTTTCACTCAAGATAAATAGTGAAACTAAAACCCAGAATTCGAAGTTTGCAAAATTCTTGAACTCATTTAAAATGTCAGTTTGAAATGTTTTGGCCTATTTTGCGCATTATCAACTTTAAAAATTGCTCACGAAACTTAAAGCAAAAACCATGACAAAATGTGAATGACTTCATAGAGAAACAATTGAAAACATCATCCAGATTTATACATATCTATAAAACTTATTGCATTTTCTCAGTTTTTTTGAATTAATGTGTTTTCTGCGTTTTTGTTCTGAAATTTTTGATTTGGTTCCAATATTAAAAAACATATTTTTTGCTATTTAAAAGTTTTTAAACGTGTTTGCTGATGAACTCAATCTATTTTGTAGATATTTTTTAAATATATTTTAATTAACTTTCCAACCTCTCCCAAAGCAATAAAAACTAAAAACACCCTGTTTTGGGCAATACTTCTGCGCTGCAGCCAAAGTTTTGAAAAAACAGGCCAAAACGGCCGTTTTTAGGCAATTTCTCGAAAATTTTACCAATAATTGCGTTTTATTTGGCGCCGAAAGCGTCTTTAGAAATTTTTTAGGGTCTGTCACCAAAAATGGATGTCTCAAAAAAGTAAAAAGGGGGACCCTTTGAGTTGACATGGGATCAAACTCCTGACGGGGGGGGGGGGGGGGCGTCCCACCTCTAAATCCACCTCCGTGTTGGTATTTTTCCTTGCGGGTAAATCGTCCTAATTAAAAAAGACTTAACCTGATGTTTACCCAAGTACTTATCTCATTTAGCCGCTATGAGTTCAATTTTTTTCCCCATTATGGATTTAAAAAAGTTTTTCTGCCCGCATTTTAGTGACATTACAAAGAGTAATTTAGTGGCACAAATTTTTTAATATCCAATGGCTTATTGAATACAAGGCCGTTGGATTCCGCGTTTTTGTGGTCAAATTCTATTCTCCAGAACATCAAATGCGGAATTAATGGTCAAAGACCTGACCAAAGTCAATGAGATGAAATCAAAAATGCTAAGAATGTGGCAAATCAAAAAAATATCTACCCCACACAGCTCTAATTAAGGGTTGAAAACAAAATTTTTCCACAATTATCTTTCTTAGAAGTGTGTTTTATGTGGCAAGATTGTTTTCAACAATGTGTCCAGATTATATTCCATGGGTCCAATTTGTCAGTTTCTGTTAGATTTGATGTTTTGTAGGTTTTCTGTGTTTAAATATTACCCAGAAGGGTTTAATTAAGTTTTCATTGTGATTTTTTATGAGAAACTGCTTTGAAATTTTCCCCAATTGCATTTCCCAAATTCACCCTAACCCTATGATTATCGCTCGAAATGCCGAAAACTAAATTTCTTAAAATTCTAAAATAAACTAAACTGATCATCAGAGAGCGGAAAAAAGAAAATTTTCGGCCGGGAAAAGTAGTTTTGATAATTTTTCGAGGCAAAAAAGGTTAGAAAAAACCAATTTTTCCCGCTCCCTGCCAAATGCAAATATATATCCAAATGCGTATATATCCAAATGCGTTTCTGTTTTTAAATTTCCACGTTTATTTTGGATCTCTCGACAAAATGACGTTACTCTCTTTGTATATTCTGAATTTTGGGAAAGCGACAAAATTGTAGTAGAAGGCAGCTCCAATAACCCATTTCTGATTCCCTTATTATTCCGTATTCACATACATGTGTTCCAATGGTATAATGAAGGCGACGCATTCATATACATTGTATATGTCTCCATTCCTTTTCTTGAGCAGACTATTTTTCCACTTTCCACCACGTTGGTAAAATATGACATGTTTAAAGCGAAATACCAGCCGAAAAAAAATCACACAAAAAATTAGAGGAGGAGAATTATTTTTCGACTCTGCAAAGCAGCTTACGTTTTATAATATTGAACGTACTTCAATTATTTTTTCACAATATTGACCTGTATTTAGATTACACTTGCGCGTCGTTTTGACTTTTTATAATTGGTGCGAACATCGTTTTAATTCCATTGAAGTGTTATTTGATTTCAGCAACTAAGACTTGCTTATAACGTTTAAAGGTAAGTTATTCGGGTAATTGATCACGCAAAAGTCATTCTCATTTTTGTCATTAAAAGTAAGGGTTCTTACATTTAAATGACATCGATCGTTTTTATCGAAAATAGGTTAAAAATAGATATTGACTGACACTTAAGTAGCGACCCTAAACTCGCAATTTAACAGTTTTTTTTAATTTCAAAAAAATCCGTTGAAAGCCGACCAAATTCAATAAAAATATTTTTGATAAATAACATATTTGTATTTTCTTTTTCAATTAAAAAAAATGGTTTTGGATTTCGCATTTTTTCCAAGATATCGAATCTTAGTTCTATATTAAATCACATTGAACAGAATATTAAATTGTGGCTCAGCGTTCTGTGGAAATCCATCGTACAATTGGTTCTGTAATTGATTTAATTACAAAAAAAAACGTCACTAATTATTCAACAGATTGAACATGAAAACCTACAGACACCTCAAAAGACGGAAAACGCAAACCAGAAAAACTAATCAGCGGTCAAAATCTCCTCTTGAGACTAGCAAGTGAATTGACCACAAAGTGAATCAAAAATATACGAGAAAAATAGTGTGAATTTCTGGAAGTTCAAACACAAGAATGTTCGTCATGACACTTTTTGCAATTTGTAGCTTCGTTATCAAATCACTTTCAGAAAAAGTGAGTATGGACTTTTTTGGACATCATATCCGTCGTTATAGAGGTAAATTTTACTTTAATTGATAATTGTCTTTGACCAAAACTTGCACATTTTTTTCTGTAAAATCTTTTATGAGCTGAGAGAAATGATGTCCAATGGTTTCCTCAATGCATTTGTTTTCAAATTAGTCTCGCTTGAAGCTCCAATTCCCAAAAATTCTCAGAGCAAACAATCTCGAGGTAGAGATTTTATCCTCGTGATTGTTTTGTATACTTTCTGCTCACTCTATATCATTTCAGCTGCATTTTTCAACAACAGAGGCTGATTTAGCTAATTAATTCCGCTACGTCAATATTTACGTCTTTTGATTAGTTTCCGAGGTTAATGTAGTATAATGTTATATCAAAGTTACTCAATAAAAACTGTTGAACCTGTAATTTTGACGTAATTGATGCGCTTTTTTAACAACGGGACCATATAGCGTCAGTGTACGACTGAGCTCGTAGGTACTTTTCGTGATGATCGAAGTATTCCCCAAGAGAGAGTGAAGGAAAGTTTGCGGCGTACTGCCCCAGCAAAATGGGCTTGGGGGTTAAAGCTTCTAAATCACGCGAATCGGTACTTACCGGCCTAGCATTAAAAGCCTGCTCCACTAAGCAGAGTGTTGTTTCAAACATTTTTTCTGTTACACGCCTTTTTCGTACTACTCCCAAGAGCTAACATGATGTGGAGCACTGGGAAAAATAAGCTTCCAGATTATACCTTTATGCGCAATGACAGTTAGAGTCATGCGGTTCAGTTCTTAATACCGGCAAAAAAACCTTTTTCTGCAACAACAAACTTGTTTCCCTTATCCAAACAAAAACTGCTGGGTGCAACGCGGCGCGCGATGAAATGCCCGATGCGTTTCACACATGAGCTGGTGTCTAGTGAAGGCGCAACCTCGAGGTGTACAGTCCTGGCCACGAGGCAATTGAAAAAAAAAACAATTTTTCTCAGTGAATGGTAACGTAAAAGGGTCCAAAATAGTCCCGCCTGTGCAGGAAAAATGTTGCTGCTTATACCCGCCGAGGCGGGCGGTTAACAGGTAGGAGGTCAAAATTGATTGAACCGTGATTGTTTTTTGTTTTCCATATGTAATGCAATGGTTTCTAGTAGACTTCAGCAGTTGACGCAACCCCAGTATAGCATACTTTAAGTTAATCACGGTGCGCATATAGTCCAACTCTGATTAAAAATGCTCAAGATGGAGGTTCCGAGATAACAATTGAACTAATGTGTACCTGACGTCAAGCAAATTAGGGTCTTTAGTGTCAAGCTTGGCGTCAACTAATTGTCCTATGCGTCCAGTGGATTCCAGCTGGTCCTAAGGATGAAGAGTACGTGCCAGTCTTGCTGTTGCTCCAAATGCGTTTACCAGAAGCTAGTAATTTCATCTGGACGGGAAAGTCGTACACTTCTTATTATCAAAATCCAGCCCAAGTTGTTCGGTGATCCTTTAACCTGATTTTATTGATCACCTCTTGATCGGGTTTAAACGGCCAACCCTTAGATCTACAAATGCTTGGCCCAATAATCCAGATATTAGCCTTGAGGGCGTTCAAAGAAATCCCCCGTATACCGGTATCAACTGGATAATTGCCACTCAAGGCAAGGTGCCACTCATCAATGGGGGTAGATTCGAGTGTTTCACCGACACGGTTTCCGACTAAGACAGTTAACTCATCCTTAGAATCAGGCCATTTCAGTATGATGGTGCTATCTGTCCTAAAAAAGATATCATTCATTCAATCGTAAGGTTGTTCACATTTTCGATTTTCAACCGTGTATTATATGCAGCAGCTTGAAGCTCTAACTTGTGTTTTGGCAACGCTTTTTTTTGGGGCAGCAGGCGCTTTACTGAAGAAAAATAGATTGCACTTTACTTTTTTGCGAGCTTATGAGTCGCGCATGCAAAAGCCCAACGGCGCAGAACCCATCCTGCAAGCTATCACCGAACATATGAATCTCAATAGATCCTTAGGTTCTGTTAAGCAACTGCGGTGAAGTGTCAGTTGACCTAACAGAAGGAGGCCGGAGTGCTACTCGAGACATTTTCCCCTAAAACCTTCTGATAAATCATCATCTTCTTTTTGGCTTCTTTTTTCCCGAACGTCTTTAAGTAAAAGACAAACCATCACGGTGTGCAGGGCTACTAACCCAACAGGGTCAAACACCGAAGTGACTAAACTCAAAACGGTTCGTTGGATTATCCCATATCGAGAGGCTGATCAACAGCTCGGCTCACAACCAAAAATTTTCTTTGAATGATCCCATTTAAGACCAAAGATGCCCGACAATTGTTCAGCATTACATACTTCCTTAACCGGTGAAGTTGTCTCATTGCGATTGTAATTTCTTTAACATCTCTCTGACAAACTTATTTAATTTAAAACCACATTTGTTAAGCAATTTTTCCAAGTCTCGACTAATTAAACTTGGTTGCTCAATGTTTACGAACTAATTCAAGTATTCGTCCATGTAACACTTTTCAGTAACCATTGATGCTGCTTCAGGGTATGCCGTCATCTAATAATTTGAGTTTTTTAGCCGAATATATGGCGAGTGTAGTCATGGACTACCACGTCCGATGTGGGATCCTACCGCCACTAAAAACAAAACAAAGATTGATGATTTTGGTCGAACCCTCCGACTTGGAAAAACATACCCTCTATATCCGCCCAGACGCCGTCCTTGTGCTGTTGAAATTGCAGAAGTCCGAAAATCAAGTTTTGTAATAGTGAATTTTAGCAGCCCCTTTAAAGACTCTGCGCACCTTATTCGGATTTATAACTGGGTGGTGCGGAAGATAACACTCGTGATCGAGTCGCGAAAGTGGATCATACGGCTCCACGGTAACAACATGACCTTTCTTATTCACGTATCTTACCCAACTTACTTAAATTTTGCTCCGAAGTTTTACATTGAGCAAGCGATGGGCAATCTTTATTAGGGAGACTGAAAATGTTATCAACCCGAATTATAAACACGATAAGTTTTTCACCATCGTGGTATGTTATTGAATTGAGGATGGATAAAGCGGGTTTATTGGTGGACGAGCGGGCATCGACTTGTTTGAAGCCTCCATAAGATTATAAATCATACCAAGACTTCGTCTGGTCAATTAAAGAAGAACCTTCATCAATACACTCAACGCACGAAGAATTTAACCCGGCTGAGGGCCATAATGAAGCAATTATGACCCAAGCTATTTGTAAGCGGACGGAACATGATGAGTTAGAGTCATCTCCTGTAAGGACATCAATCGGACGAACGGCGTGGTAGTAATCCTGTCCTAGGAGAACTTCTACATCTACATAGTTGTAGTGTAAGGGCTTCATAAGAGCTAATTGAGAAATTTTATCCTTCATTTCAGGTATGCTGACATTCTGTACTTTGTGTATCCACCTACAGTGATATGAGCGGAATTGTGTTTAACATTTTCCGGTATAAACTTATGGGGCTCACTTGAACTTTTTTTAATATGGTGGAAAGCTTTTTTCCACAGCGTGATGAAGGACATTGTACGTGTTTTCAGAGTCCTGTTTTGATCTTTTTTGCCTTCATGCAATTACGCAAAATCTGGTTCCCCTTGAGGTAAGCGAAGCAAGGTTTTTGCTCAGCTACAAATTTTGCTCGCGGAGTGGCATTCTTTCCCTGGAATGCAGTTCAAAGCCAAAGAGGGGCGCTTTCCTTTCCACGGCAAGCACGGCAGTTTGATGCAAACACATTTGTTGTTTACGATTTTTTTTGTCCGTTGTAGCTCTAGAACCAATAACGCGAAACCCTCTTTGGGCTCACCCTTCTTTTTAAACCTATAATTGAAATCTAAGAGGCTGGACCACTGCCAATTTTGGCTAATTGTATGCCCTGACCAAGCTTCTATCAAAATAGCTGGGAGCTTGGCGACAACTTGGTTCCGAAAAATTACGCTTTTAAGGTCATCATGAAATGACAACGATTGAATGACTATAGCCACTCCTGAAACGGCGGGGGAGAAACTGATGACTTTCACTGAACTACGCATTTTGAGTGAAGGAAAACTGGCTATGTTATCCAAATGAGCCCCAGCAAAAACATGAGGCTCACTAAAATTTCTCTGCAATGTATATATTGCATCATCGCATGAAACTTTTTCAAAAACTGAAATTGGCGATAGCCTCTTTGGTTTTTCCGGTTTTGAGCGTCTTCAAACATGTGAATTTTTCGTCATCAGTCAGAAGTGTGGAACCGATGGTTGAGTAAATTGTCCGAACCAATCTTGCCAGCTCGCCTAAATTCAATTCTGAGAGACGATATGTCTGGTTAATTTTCATCAGTTCAGT